TTTTTTTTTTTTTTTTTTTTTTTTTGAAGTATTAGAAAAATGATTCAACCAACCAATATTAATTCAGACCATTTGATAAAAAACATTTGCAATTGCAATTTCAAGTTTGGACGATGAATCATGAACAGATTCGAACGGGAACTTTTTAGAAGCGTGAGAATCCATTACATTTATCCACTCGCATTCAATAACCCGAATTGAGCTCCATTTTCTCTTCCGAAGAATCAGAAGCGACTTTCCCATTTCTGGCAACAAATATGAGCAAGAAGAAGGTTCTGGTATTGGGCGGCACAGGTTACTTAGGTCAGCATCTTCTATCAGGATTTTCCGACATCGATGGAGTTCCATATGATCTCGCATTCACTTATCACTCCTTCGCGCCTGATGATTTGGTGCGAGCTCTTCCTCATCTGCTTGCTTTTCAAGTTGATTTGAAATCTGGTCAAGGATTCGATGCCATTGTCCAGAAATTTGGCCAGGTTTGCCTCTCTCGTCTGCCGATTCAAGTTATCGTTTATTTTGTGTGTGCTAAGATGGAGCGTCATTATTGCTTGAATTTAGTGCTGAAATATGATTTCGATTACCAGCCCGATATTGTTGTTAATTGTGCTGCTGTCTCTGTACCTCGTGCCTGCGAAACAGACCCTGCTTCTGCATTGTCTATCAACGTGCCTACTGCTCTTGGAAATTGGTTGTTGAGCTTTGAACAGATGAATACACTTCTCATTCATCTATCAACTGATCAAGGTAACTCTTGACTTCTTTGTTATTATTTTTATTATTTCTCTTACTTGGTTATTGATATTTTAAGTTGATTAAGGGCACCAACTCTAGCGGGATACTGTTGTTTGGATTTTTTCTTCTAGGCTTCCCCTCAAGGTTTTTAAAACACGCTTCTTAGTGAGAAGTTTCCACATCCGTATAAGGAATGTTTCGTTCCCCTTCTCCAACCGTTGTGGGATCTCACAATCTACCCCTTAGGGCCCAACGTTCTCATTGACACACTGTCCGGTGATTAACTCTAATACTATTTGTAACAGCCCAAGCCTCCCGCTAGCAAATAGTGTTCTCTTTGGGTTTTCCCTTCAAGAGCTTTCTCTCAAAGTTTTAAAACGCGTCTACTAGGGAAAGGTTTTCACACCCTTATACGGAATGTTTCATTTCCCTCTCCAACCGATAGATAAAATTTTTAGAACATTTCAAAATCTAAGCAAGGAAAAACTCATTTGATTGGTGGGATCTCACGAGTCTGAACACTTGTATATATAAATAAAAGCTCTCGTTGGCAATGCTTACGCTAGAAGACCTTTGAACCTGAACAAAATCAACTCACTGCATAAGTTTCTAATAACATAGTTAGTGCGTCCTCTAAATGCTAATTTGGAGTAGACAGAAAATTGATAACTTATGACGTATAAATATTTCTTTCAATGCATTGATTAAATAGACACACTCTTAAAAGCATAGAGGAACGTTAGAAAATTTTTAAATGTTAAGGACTTCCCATTCTTAGGAATTATAATCTCAGTGCAATTATAGAAGTCATTTGAAGATTTTGGTATTTTGACTGTAAGTAACTTGAGAATCATCGTTTCCTACTTGCTTGCATCTTGTCAAGTAAAATTTCCATTAAATATAAGATATTACTTTTGTCTGTTGGACAGGACATCTTTCTGAGTCTTTATGATATAATTCAACTGGGTAGTGCTTGATTTTATTTTCCCACTAGTTTATGAAGGCATGAGATCATTCTACAAGGAAGATGATGAAACCATTCCTGTGAATGTCTATGGGAAGTCAAAGCTAGCAGCTGAACAGTATGTTTCTGAGAAATTTTCCAACTTTGCAATCTTGAGATCTAGTATCATTTTTGGTCCTCAGACCATCTCGCCTGTTCATAAATCTCTTCCAGTTCAGGTACATGGTCCTTCGTTATGCTGTACTTCTGAAATGTTCTTGTACATTTATGCATTTATAGATATTTTGAATTGTAAAGATAAATGTCTGCAAGTTCTAGCATATAGTTCTGGCCATTTTAAAAACAACTAGTGGAAGGGAACTATGTCATCGTTATTTGTGAATAAACATTAACTTATATAACCATCTAACTTAGTTAAGGTACAAAAATATTTTGATAGTTTTTCAACTTCTTTATGCATAGCAATTAATTTGTATCCATTTGATACAGTGGATCGATGCTGCTTTATCTAAAGGAAATGAAGTTGAATTCTTTCATGATGAGTTTCGATGTCCTGTGTATGTCAAGGATGTCGTGAGTGTCATAATAACATTGATTAAGACATGGATATCAGGTATGGATTTTGTAGAGTATTGATAAATGATAATATAAGTGGTGCTTCCCAGGTCCCCTGCAGTTAAATCCTTCCGCATTGCATAAATTACTGTATCCTTAGAACTCGAGGACAAAGTTGTCGGAAAGTCTTTATACCCAATATATATTATGTCCGTATCAAAATTACCTTCAGGAGAAGACCATTTGATTTAAAATTTGCTCAGCAACAATTGAATAAGTGAGAAATACTGGAATAATCAGAAAAGTTTGGATAGAGTCGGAGTTTAATGTTAGTTAGGTAAGCGTCGTAAGAAGAGTAGTTTAAACCTAGTAGACCATCCCCATGGGGGTGGTGAAGGGAGGAGGAGTACAACCTATAGAACAATTGTTGTTCAAAGAAGGCCATGTTGAATAAATGATTGTTTATTTGAGATTCTACATCTGTTGGAGAGGGGAACGAAACATTCTTTATAAGATTGTGGAAATCTCTCCCTAGCAGACGCATTTTAAAAACTTTGAGGGGAAGCTCGAAAAATAATACCCAAAAAGGACAATATCTACTAGTAGTGGGCTTAGGCTTGAACTTCGGTTGTTACCGTTTAAAAGAAAAAACAGGTACATACTGTGGATAAACATATTACTTACCGTGATAGATAGTTCACAATTTGATCAGTTTCTTATGAGGGGGTGAGAGGAACTTTTACTCTATGTTCATGCTCATGATTGATAGTTGTTCAATTATTTTTCTCCTCAGTTTTGACATGTATGCATGCATTTTTCCTTCATTATATTAAGTTAGTCTCTTATCTGTTTGCAATTATGGATGAGTGAATTCCAGAGGGCAAGCAAATGCAATTGGTGTTAAATGTTGGTGGACCAAATCGCTTATCACGTGTTGAAATGGCCGAGACTGTTGCAGAAATTAGAGGGCATAACAAATCATTGATCAAAAGAGTGTCTGCATCATCAGTATGTTTTCTTCTTGATCTTCTCGATATCATAGAATGAATTAAGCCTTTCAATATCAGCATATGATTGTCGAACTAGCACATCCATTAACACCCCCTTGAGAAATATTACCAAAAACATTTCAAATGGCCAATGTTTTCTAGCATTTCTGTAACGGTCCAAGTCCACCGCTAGCAGATATTGTCCTCTTACCCTTCAAGGTTTTTAAAACGTGTCTGCTAAGGAGAGATTTTCACACCCTTATGAAGAATGTGTTGTCCTCCTCCCCAGCCGATGTGAGATCTCACAATCTACTCCCCTTTGGGGCCCGGCGTCCTTGTTGCCACTCGTTCCCTTCTTCAATCGATGGGACCCCCATCGCTGGCACCTTGCCCAGTGTCTGATTCTGATGGTATACCATTTGTAACGGTCCAAGCCCACCGCTAGCAAATATT